AAAAAAAAAAAAAAAAAAACACTTCTGGAATTTTGGTTCCCAGGAAAAACACGGTAATAAGCGACTGGTATACTGAGTCCTCAGAAAAGTGTCTTTAAATGGTCACCTGGGTACTAAACTTAGATGAACAATGAAAGAAGGAATGACTTTAATATTGTTTAGTATTTCTTTGTAGTTTTGTTAATTCTTCACAATAATGAATGGAATAAGAAGGGAATGTCTTAAGCAAAACGGCCTTAGTAATTTCTCTTGCAATTATTAACTTCATTCCTAATTCCTAAATTGAACACCAAAGCATACCCACGGTCTACATCCATGTGGAAAGTTCTAACAATCTGTAAATAAGTACAAAATGGTTAATATTTTGTATTCTTTTTCATTTATTTGTATTTGAGAGAGAGAGAGGGCGTGCACGAGGTGGAGAGAGGGGTGGGGGGAGAGAGAGAATCTCAAGCAGGCTTCACACTCGGTGAGGAGTCCGGTGCGGGGCTTGACCCCATGACCCTGGGATCATGACCTGAGCCAAAATCAAGAGTCGGACGCTCAACCAACTGAGCCACCCAGGCACCCCATGTACTTTTTTTTTTTTAATAGAAAAAAATAATTTACAGTCACAGAATACATCTACTAGAAAGAATTGGTTTTTTAATATCATCTTTAACAAATTAAAAAACACAAAATCAACAATTCAATAAGGATCCTTCCATTTTTCTTTATACAGATTTAAATGCTGTTGTGTAATTTATCAGTTACATTTATAATCGATAACCTTCCACTCACTGAGTTTAGAAATTACAGTATTTACTGAGCTAAACTCTCTCACAAAATAAGGCACAACTACATGATCACAAGTAGTAAACACAATACAAACAATGAATCCAAAACCTAAATGAGAAAATATTCATGCAAAAGTTTCTATAGAAACTATGAATATATGATCCAGTTCAAGGAAGTACAGAATGTCATATACATAACTGCATCATGTTACAATAAATTCATTACTTCTACACAGAAAGAACTTAGCTATTTCCAATTCTATTTTATACAATTTTACATAAATTTAGTAAGTTTATGCACAATATTCACATCTGCAACAATAACAAATTGATCATTAAAATTCAGGCAAAGGGCAATTAAGACACGATAATGTGTGGCACATTATAATTACAGAATGCCATTCATCAAGCTCATGTCTAGGAATACTAAATTGATGGCACATTTAACTCTTATGGATCAAATCATCCATGGTTTTATAGCCAAAGTGCATTAAAAAAAATTGCTATAGTCAAATAGGTCATGAATATCAAAATATATGATCATAATTTGCTCTCCACTTAGAAGCTAAACATTTTTATGCAAATGCAAAGTTAAAAAAAAGTGGCTTCAAAGTTCTCAAAACTATAAAATAATCCAAAGCCTTTCTAAGAGAGATGGGAAACTAACAAATTTGGCAGTTACTATTTAACATTACTGTGAGGAAACTATCAAACTAGCTAATTCCACATTAAGAGGTAGTTGAACAAAATGTTATTTGTACACTGCATTGAGGTCTTTGTGTTTCCCTCTTTTTTCTTCAAAATGAACTAATCCTATACCAGCAGCTTTGTCTTCTTCCTATTAAAAAAAAATCTGTAGGTATACTTTATTGTACTCTAACCCAGCAAAACTTGATTTTAATTCACATTTCTATGCTGGGGTTTGGAATTTACTAACATGTGATGCCAACAGGCTTCGCATTAGAGCCAAGAGCTGGGACGTGCCACCCCTAACTCACTGACAAATAGTACCAGCAAACATCTAAAATGTAGAGCCAGTAAGAACTCAGAAGATGACTTTTTAGTTAAAAGAAAAAGAAAACCCTTTTTGTTTTCTTTAAAAACACGTTAAATTAGTGAGAGTTAATAAGCACACACACAAAAAAGGTTCATTTCTGATAGCATTAGTGTAGTAGCCTATGGTAAATTATTCAGGACCTATAAAATGAGATTTAGCTAGATGAAAACTAGTGATTACTCAAACACATATAATTTTGTTTGTTGCCCTCCCGACATTTTTTTTTGTGAATATGTGGGTGGGTGGATAAGATGGGAAAAGGCCTTCAGCGCACCCAGTTAGGAGATGAAGTGAACAAATATTCTAACCTAGAATCCTCATGAAGTTTTACTATCTTAAAAAAAAAAAAAGGTACTGTGAATATCTATTTTTCCAACATAGAAAATTTCTAAGTTTCATATTAACTTCCTTATATTTAAAGTGTAGAATTAAGACTCTTTGAAAGGATTTATAAGCATATGAAAATGCACAAATAATTTTAGCTCAATTTATATCATCCAGCTGTTGTTTTTAATAAAGAGTCATTGTATTTCTTCTTTATGTATGCTCAAGGATGTATGTCTATCCTAGTCTAGGGACACCATCAGGGTCCTTAACAGCTACTGACAGCAGGATTTACTTAACTGAGTTTTGTAAAATAATTAAATGAATATGACAATCTCTTCATTTATCGATGTTACAGGTAAAGCATAAACATGATAACTTTATTTCGGCATGATATTTGAAAGCAAGTGTATATTATAGACTATTGCAAATGAAATATTAACTCCCATTCTTCCTTATTATTACCAGATGATTACACTGCACAAATGTATAACTTTATATTTTTTCTCTAGAAAGAATAAACCAATTATTAATGACCTCTCTACAGATGTTTCCCAAATTAAGAAGACTATGATAAATTAAAGTTCAATTCCATTGTTCAGCATACAAATAAGCTAACTTTTAATTACCCTTAATTAGCCATTCTGTTTCAGTTCTGATTATAACTTTGGGATTCCGAAATATATTTGTTTTTGGTGATATTCTAGTCTCCAGCTGTTACTTTAAAGCAATTTCATAGCAGTATTTTTGCAAAGTGAAAAGATTTACCAGTTAATATGGAACCCCAAATTCATAACCATTTTAAATTTAAGTCAACTTCACAACTTTCAAAAATGTTTCCCTATTGGGTAAGAAGATGTAAAGTCGAATATTTAATGTCTCCTTCCCACGTGTATTTGTTTTCACAGATAAGACTAGAGCAATATCAGTTACTGGCTTTAAGATGCAAAATTATAAAACTATTACAGTGAAGCTGAGCCACGGTTCGAAAGGTTAAACCAAATAAAGGGAAAAATAGATCCATTAAAAAAGCAAACTCAGATTCCCAAAATGCTGGAGAGACAATCCAAGGGTATAATATAAAGGCTAATCTCCAAAACCTTCCTACTTACAAGAAACTGACAATAGAACCATTATACAATTTTTACGATTCATCCTCCAGCTGGGGGGTGAGGGTGGGTAGTTTTATAGAATTCTTAACAGTGTGTGAGAGTTTAAACATGAGATAGAAAAAGACAAAGAAAAATTAACCCTAATCTTTAAAATACAACCCCAGGATAAGCATAAAGTAAGCAAACTGATTTTACAGAGGTTTTCATAAAATCTACCCAAGAGAATTTAATCAATATTGTTAAAACAAAAACCATGTTCAAATTCATGGTTAGTACATATTTCAACATAAACTGTACTTAGAACACATGAGTAGTAAACTTATAACATAACAATGCAACTGAGCTATGGACCTATATATAAGAAAAAAAGAAAGTTTTATAGTTCTGTGCATGACTTCACCAAGAGAGTATCTAATATAATAATAATATAATGTGCTATTGTGCAACATATATGATGTGATAACATCACCCATGTACATTTTTGTATACTAAATTTGGGAGAAAAAAGTAAGCTATGGAAGCGTATATTCATGTCATTTGTGAACAATGAAATCATACTTAAAAAAATACATTGCTATTTTCTGTCCAAAGTTTATTTACATTTCATTGGCTAATTCTAAACTTGGCATGAAAGCTGTTCCAGGGGTTAAATGGAAAAAAGTAATGAAAGATGAGCCCAAGTCTCACAAAAATAGAAGAGTTTTACTTGATATTGATAACATTCCAAAATATATGAATTCTAATTTGGTCTAATATTGCAACCACTGTCCAAATCAAATAGTAGTCCAAGACCTCTATTAAGTGCATTTATTAAAAATCTAATGTTAGTGTAATACTATTCTGAAGTTGTGATAATCCATTATCCTTGCAAGTCATTGAAACATGCATCACAGACACGAACAGGCTTCTTAGAAGATGGAGTTAAGGCATTTTTGGCCGAACACTCAGCACAGAAGATATTTCCACATTGTCTGCAGTGATGCTGTAAATGACAAAAATTAAACAATTTCAAGCATAAAAACTACACCAAAAGCATGATGAGATATAAGAATACTGCAAACTGCACTGTGAAGGTATATTAACTTTCAAGGGATTAGTGTATTATTTAATAATATTTCAACATGTCAATTTAATCTCTTAATTTGAATGCTTTCTATTTCTCAGATACTGTGCCAAACATCTGATATAAAATTCATCAAGAATTCTCAAAAGAACCTTCAGAGGCATTTAAAAAGTGATAATAAAGCACCTCGACCAGCTGAAAACCATTTCCATTTGCCAAGTGTTTCAGGCATAATTTCTTCAATAGGAATATAAACTTCACATGGTATTATTCAGAATAAATATTTTTTTCATCTCTGCTTTTTCTTTAAAATAACCCAATGATGACTAAAACATATGAGTTAAACACATAACGACTAAACATATGGCCCAGTGGTTCAGAAAATGACTATTCCAGAGAGTAACTGAGTAGGAAGGCAAGGACTATACTTAAAACTAAAATTGAAATACATATGCTGACCAGAAACTAGACTGCATAAAATTTAATTATTCTGTGTAGTTGTAAAGTTAACCAATAAATAGAAAAAATTTTTAAATCTGTCAAATACAAGATTTTGATGGTTAAAACATTAACTGATACTGAGAAATAAAATCCAGAACCACAGCAATATGAACAAAATCATTTACCCGTCTCACTGTTACTGAAAAGCCTTTCCCACAGGCCATGCAGTTTTGTACTTCATTGTCTTCCGCCCACTTCCTATTTAACGCTTGCGTGTGTTTGATCTATCAAAAAAAAAAAAAAAAAAAAAAAAAAAAAAAAAAAAAAGGGGTGTCCATACATTATAATACTCAACATTTTAAAGAATGATGGATAATTTCTAATTTGGTGCCCAAGTTTCTCAAAATTTAGACTTATAGGCACCATGGGATAAAATTTTAAAAATCAGAAATACTTTGGTTGGCTTCCATTGTCAAAAGCTGCTACACTCTTAAGTCTGAATAACAAATTAAGTCAAATTTTTACCCTCAAAGGTACCGGCAATTTCTAATCTTTGGTGATTTCCCATCCCTTCTAACCCTAATGATCAATCCTTCCTAAGTACCCTGAGCACATATTCAGATCACTTCTTTAACACATAGCAGCTCGTCTATTCCTTGATGTTCCTCAATTTTCCGAGAGCTGCCAATTCGTGAATGACAAGGCTTTCTAACTGATCCCTGGGGTCTCTCAGATTAATTCTTTATCACTTTTATTCAACTATCCATAACACCTACAACACTGCTATACAGATAGTAACCATTCAAAAGTTATTTATTAAATACAGGAGATTTTTTTAAAGATTGAAAATACGCTGGGGTGCCTGGGTGGCTCAGGTGGTTAAACATCCGACACTTGGTTTTGGCTCAGGTCATGTTCTTGTCATCTGTGAGATCAACCCCATGTCGGGCTCTGCGCTGATGGTGTGGAGCTTGCTTGGGATCCTGTCTCCCCCCTCTCTCTCTGCCCCTCCTTTACTCAGGTTCTCTCTCTCTCAAAACAAAAAACAAAAAATAAAAAAGATTGCAAATATGCTTTTCACTAAGAGTTAACTCTAGACTGAAAAACAGCCTCACATTACCAGATGACTTACTTGAAGGGATTGATTTTCTCTGCCCAGCTCCTGCACCGCTGCGGTCGTATTATCCAGCTTTCTTTGCAATTCTAGTACTTTGGTTTGAAGCTTTTCTATTTCACCTTCTCCTTTAAGACATCTAGAACAGATTGCAAAGCAATCATTAATTTTTAAAAAAAATTATCAAAGATCCTTCTAGAACAGAGATAAGAAACTACTTCGTAACCTCAAACATAATACTTTAATTTCAACTATCTGATTGTTTTAAGAGTTAGTTTTTAAATGGCTGCATAAATACCTGCGGGGCCAATGTACTCTTCTCAAGACTCTTCTATTTAAAAAAATGTGGAAAAAGACAATCTTCTTGTCACTTAGAATGGAAACACACTAATTTTACTAGACATCAATCACCTTTCTAGTAGTGCTCTCCTTTCATCCTGATTATTCTGAACTGTGGCTTCTAATACTGCAATTTCACCCCGTAAGTCGTCCGTCTGTTTCTCGAGCTCGCTGACTCTACGTTGACTAGACTGCCACTCCTTCTTTACGGTGCCCAAGTTTTCATTTAATGCTGTAATCTGCATGGTAAGTTTAGCTTCATTTTCTTCATGCTTCTTCATTCCTATTTCTTTTTCTTTTATTTCGGAATGCTGAGAAAAGGAAGAACAGTGAGGAAAAAACCTATTCCTAAAGTAATGCAAAATAAATTTAAGTTAGCTATTGAACTTAAAATACTGACAACATAAGTAATACTACTTCTTCAGGAAAGAAGGCAGGAGAATGTATTCATCTCATACTAATAAGATTGATTCCACAAACATCTGTGTCATCTGAACTGGCTCAAAGGCCATAATGCTGAAATGAGAGTCAGCAAGCCTCTAAGAAGAACCACTAACATACAGCAATTTGAGGTTTTCGTTTTCCTCACTAGAACAGGGGAAGAACACATAGTTAGGGATAGCAAGGTGCCCTGGACACAAAGCTGGCATTTTCAGTCTCAAAATCCACATGTACCTTTTCTTCTATCAACCTGCCAAAAAGCCAATTCCAAGCCATTCAACTCACTGTGTGAACTTGAAATTGCAAAGCTTCAACTAAAACATTCAGCCCTCAAGTTATGTGGGGATATTTGGACTTAATTCAACAGAGGAAAGCCAGATGCTTCCCATTTTGGCATGCACAATTTAGGGAAGGAAAAGTAGACTTTGGTCATCAAAATTCCACACTGAAGTTTCCGTTCTCCCTTATCAACACTCACTTCGACCAAACAAATGAGTTTAACATCATCAGCATTCACGCCATTTACCTCAATCTACATAGCTGTGGATTTGTTTTTCTGGCACTAAAAGTGTGTTTATTTTTTATGAATTATGTTTCATTGAATTTTCACTTCTCTAAACCAAAATATAATTACAGACTAAAATATTTCCAATCACATATCAGCTATTTAAACAAATCAGGTCTCCTTTCTCAATCAAAAAGTAAAATGCTAGGTAAGAGCACTTAAATCCTAACTTCCAAGTAGAAAAATCCTCTCTTACTGGATTGACTTACAAAATCAATTACAAAACACACTCCCCACCATTAACTTACTGACCAGTTTAGCCTCCTTCTCAGTAAACTCTTTCTTCAGTTCATCTTCTTCCTTTTTCACCTGCTCTTTTAGCATTTGCTGGTTTCTCTTCTCCTGGTCAAGGGTTGCCTTCAGGGAATCTACTTTCCCTTGAAGCTCGAGTTTCTGCTGAATCAAAAGCTGTTTGGCATCCTTGAGATTTGTTACCTCCTATTGAAAAAGGCCGGAACTAAATCATCCTTTACAGTGGATATTTCAAAATGTAGCTGAAATTTATACAACTTATCCTAACAATATAAAAGAGTTTTAGCCTCTTCTCTTATGAGATTCTTAAAGTTCAGTATTTCAAACAACTGGTTAAAAAGACGCAAGATTATTTACTTCCTGCTCAACAATCATTTAAACTCAAAGTGACAATTTACATGCATGTTTGGATGAAATTATGTGAAGAACCTCTACCCCTTGTTTTCCCTTTTCTCACTTAGCAAGCATTTATTGGTCACCACTGAGGCATCACACACTGTGTTAGGTTTTAAGGATGCAGATAAAGATTATATACATTACCTGCTTTAAGGAAGTCACAGTGTGTAAGAATATAATAACATAAAGAGGTAATAAATTTTAAAGCAAAATGGGAAGTATACTGATAGACATAAAAGGTGTTATTGAGAGCATTCAAGAGAGAATCTAACCTTTGAGAAAATGAATAACATTTTTACAAAGCAAATGATAGACAATTAGTTTCTTCAGCTGGCACCCTAGGTACACTTATGACAGGAAAAATGTTCCAAACAGAGTATTAAAAATTTTTAGGAAGAAAAACAACTGAAACAACAGAATCCCCTAAAAATCTTAATTCTAAACATAGGCATAATTTTCTTTAATTTTTTTTAACATTTATTTTTGGAGAGACAGAGAGAGACAGAGCACAAGTGGGGTAGGGGCAGAGAGAGGCAGGGACACAGAATCCAAAGTAGGCTCCAGGCTCTGAGCTGTCAGCACAGAGCCCAAGGCGGGGCTCAAACCCATGAACCCTGAGATCAAGACCTGAGCCGAAGTCGGACACTTAACCGACTGAGCCACCCAGGCGCCCCAACATAGGCACAATTTTCTAAATCAACAGCTCTGTTGATTATCATCTCAACAAATCTAAACTTTTAGACCTACTTTGCTTTATTCACTAGTCTGCAAACCAAAGGAACATAGTTTCAACACAGGTATATGGATAACACACAACACGGGGATGAGAGCAAGAGTATTTGTCAAAACAACAAAACTGCGTCTAGCACATAGTAGATTCTCAGTAAGATATATATACATATTTTTTTATTTAAATGACAATAATACAGGATAGAAGGAGGGACAATGATTATCTTAACATACCTTTATGCTTTCTTGCTTGTGGGACTTGAGTTCTTCACTCAATTTAGCAATTTCTTTTTCCTGTCTACACTTAATTTCCTCTATCTCTGCCAATTTAGACTTTTCATTTACTAGTTCTTTTTCTTTCAGTGACTGTAGAAAAATAATTTAAAAATAATTTTAAGTAAATACTTAGCTTAAAACTAATGTCATGAGAATAACTGCTACTAGGCATGACATGGTCTCTGCCCCTTTCTACCTAAGTTAACGTGAGCAAACTACTTACCTTCACTTGCCTCTGTGTCCTTATTTACACAATGTGAACAACTAATAAGATCTTCATAAGCATTAGTTACTGTTAATACTGTGAAATAAATAGTGTCTAAGCAAGGAAAGAACACTATAAAATTTAGCCTATCGTTCTTATTCTTAATGCTATTATCATTATTACTATTATTACTATCAATGCCTTTATTTAAGGCGCCTAGCTAGTAGTGTGACATATTACCTAATTTAATATCAATACTAAATATAAATAGCTCTTTTTAATCCTCATGTGATAAGGAACAAAGGTTTAGAGAATAAAGGTTTGGAGAAGTGAAATAATCTATTAGAGATATAGTCAAAATTACAACAGTTCTGACTGAGCTAAAGCCCTTGCAACAAAGGCCTATGAAACTATAGTTCTCTCAGAATTTTCTAAACCCAAGACACAAATCATGAATATCATACCAGCTTCAATACCTCTACCTCCCCACAAAAACATCCCTTAATTTTTTTAACTAAAAAGACTTTCAGGAATTGCACAATTAAGATACACCACAAACTTCTGGAATTGTATACTTCAGAATAATATCTTATCAGCTAATGGAAATATATTTCAACCATGAAACCAAAAATAAAGTGCTTCCTAGAATCTGAATTTCTCTTTCATATAGCATCTTAACTTTTTTTTTTTTTTTTTA